ATCTCAATTTGGGCTAATAGACTTGACAAAATCCTACACACTGTGCCTTTAAAGACAAATTATCACATCTTTTATTATGTTCACCTACAATTTGATCGACATGTTGATGTCCAGTAACGATCTTCCATCATTTTTTCCTGTTAAATAGATGATTCACTGTGTCTTCTCTCTGGAGCTGTAGTGAGCTGTGTGTAATTAGATATAAATGCAGCTCTGGACTTGTCCTGTTCTTCCTAGGTGCTGTATTTAAACAGATTGTGGCACAAATGTGAAGTGAACTAGTCATTTTTCTCCATCCTTGAGGGCTTTTGTGTTTAATGTAGCGCAGCAAAACTAAATATGATGCTGCAGAGTGAGAAGGGAATATGTTGTTGGTCCACCCGGCTCCTTCCTAAATGCTTGCTAAAGACATCGCCTGCTGTTTCCAAAACGACATAAAATGTATAATCTTTTAGAGCTGAGCTAAATTTACCTTTTCAAGTTTGAATTTGCCTGCAGCTTWTGCACAGCTTGTTCTAATTCTGAACCATTTCTTGATAATTTAGCTCTGCTGTCCTGACGCGTTAACTGTCGTAGCGTCAGCCCCTTCTCTAACTTTTATGTGAATGTAGAGAAATGTTTCGAAACCCTTCAGCTGTTGGCTTACCTGCATTATCAATTTAGACACAAGCCCGTCAGGGGGTTGATGAGTGAGAGAAGATAAAAAAGACAGTTTAGGCGCAGTGCCTTGCTGATAAATTGTTTGCACGAGCGCCTCTGAAAACCACCAGCTTCTTCTCCGTTCCAAGCGAAATCTATTTGGCCKGCAGCAAGACAGATGTCAAATCCAGCAGATTACCGAAAATCCAGCTTCATCGATCACACTGCAGAGGGGACTGAAGAGACACGAGATTATGGAGAGGGGATTGGTGGGAAGATAAATAGGAGACCAAACCGAATAGTCACAGAGATACAACGGTGGGCTTAAAGATGAGAAGGACGAAGGGGGCAGATGAGAGAAATCCAAAATAGAAGCTTTTGATTGTTGCAGAACTTTTCAGAAGTAGTGAGARCAGTTTGTTTTCTCCTTACTACTACTTCCTGTTTCTAACCTCTCTGTAAGCGTGAGGTTCCTTTGAGATGAATCCACCTGCAGAAATCAACAAACCAGGCTCGTACAYCTTCATCAGTAACACCCACTGGCTCCGTTTGGCCTTTCATCCAAAGTGTTGCAAACACTGGTTAGACCAAAGTAATGTTTCACCACATTATCATTATAAACTGTCATTTTAATCAGGCCTAGGTTATATTTTCCTGTWGGGTTTAATTGAATGTGACAGTGTTATTAGGCAGATCTGAAACACGAAGGGTGAGATCTAACGCCAGCTGGATATTGGTGTAATCAGAGGAGAGAAGATGGTGTTGGATGAGATTAGGAGGCGGATCTGAGCAGTTAAATGCACTGATGGACAGGAACCTTTTTTCTAAACCGCGCGTCGACTGAACCCTTCAGGGGTGAAGCTGGAATAAATGAGGGGAAAGTGGCGTGATTTATTTCCGAATTTCCTCTTTCAAAAATTGTTAGTTGTATAAATAACCTGTGAAGGTCAGTGAATGTCAAGTTTATTTTGCACAATCAAGKGCTGAATAAATCAAATACTGCAGCTCGTATGTAAAGCTCAGTGCTTTATATTGAAATCAAGCAGCTCTTTGGACACAGATCAGCTCTGATTTCTATCCTCAGCATCCTGTTATACACCAATACGTAACACAGACAACTTAAATTTCAAAGATTTAGTGTTTTAGCAATAATAAGAGGCCTAAATGAGAAGTTA